TTGTCCACAATCACCCAGAGTCGTTTTTACACAAAGTTAGCTGGAGACGTCGACATTCTTCGCTGCACCCGGGTCTCTACGACGCTCCGTCCACTTCGCATTGATACGTCATCATCCCCCCCAAAAAACGGGATTAAGTTCTGTTTCTGAACTCTGTATGTCTATTTTTTTGTAAAATTAGTGCTGTGAAAAAGTGCATGTTATCTCTGCAGCCACAAGTTGCATTATATGTTGGTTGGTTAGAGCAATGGTAATATCAATACCATAGAACTGGTAAACCTAAGTTCAAATCCTGATCAGACCACCTCACCAGTAAGTGTCCTTGGAGACCTAATGATATCTATCCACTTACCTCAGATCCTCATAGATTACAAGTTTGTTTGAGTAGGCCTTCTTCTACTCTTAATGTCTGTTTTCTATTATTGTAAAGTGTTGTGGAATATGTCAGTGCTATATAAATATCAATAATAATTAAATAGAATTAATGGAATTTATACTAAAGTATGTAAATATTGCATGGATGTACGGAAATGTTCTATATGGCTAATCACCATTTCCTGCTGAACAATCTTTGGAATATAATGTATTTTAAATAGAAAACTATCTTTAAATAGATGTTACTTCCAAAAGCATTATATTAAAATAAAACTGATTTAAATAAAAACATTTTTTTTTTAAATTATAATTCTTTTTTAAAAATCTTTGAACCAATTATGAACTTTACAGGAACAGCTATTGAAAATTTTAATTGTGAATTATGAGGTAGTAACTTTCTTCAACTTTAAAAATCACCACTCCTCCTCACCAATGGGACTGTTCCAATTGGTTAACCATTCTATTGATATTTTGACTGCTTTTTACAGCACTACACAGGGGCACTCTTTATATATGGATAGCTAAAACTCACAAGAGTGTGCATAATTGGTCATGACGCTCAAATTTCATGAGCCCAGAAATGCCCGAGTCTTCAAACGTTCAATCATATTGATTAAGAACAGGTCTAAATTGTCAGGAATTCAAAGTCGAACTGAAAATATAGCTTAGAATTATTCAAAATTTGCTATTTTTGCATAAAGTTTAAAATTCACTTGGATTCACTGATTTGCAACCTGGAGAGGATAATGGATGCATCTCTAGATAACCAAAGATAAATTAATGGAAAATTGTGTTTTAAGGTTATAAATAGGAACCACATCCCATTCATATCAATGTAACCTACAGTAGTTTTAGTTCTATATTCACTCATAGTACTCATAATATTACAAATGATATAGTAAAAGCAACATTTTAGTAATTTCTTTTAGTTGGAATGCAACTTAGTGGTGGTTGTTTACTTCTACCAAAACAATCTGCAGGATAGGTAGGTTCCTCATTTTCATTTGCACACCAAACTTCAGTGATTAAGGAAATATGGCAGTTGCAAAAACCTTCACATAGACTTCTTTGGTTTGAGATAAGGGATAATATGGTATTAAACCAACAGAGCTCTAGTTCCGCTCACAAATAACCCCAACTACGGTAAGGACCCTGGGGAACAACTGGAGCTTAACTGTGCTGCAGGATTAGAGCGCTATTCCCACACGCACCAGGAAAAATTAATATAGTTTCCAGCCGGCCAAGAGGAGAATGATGAAACATCTGTTAAGAGGCCCTGTCTATTGTCGAATTATATCTACCCTACCAAACCATTTTGTATTACAGGGCTCCATGCGTTCCAGAGAACGTTGCCAGGACACACTATAGTTTTGTAACAAAACTTGTAGTCATACTTATTTACATTATAGCAAAATACAGGCATAGAGAACGTTCATTATAAAATCTAAAAAACCCATAGACACCTTTACTACTACAACTGGTTTTAATTGTATGTCTTTCTTCAGTTGTGTCTAATAACTGATATTAGTAAGAAAAAAAACTCTTAAAGGGACTCTCCAATTTTATAAAAACTGTTTAGGATCTTTGACCCACCCACTCCCCTAAAAAAGCATTAACGTACCTCTAACCCAATAGTTAGAGGGTCTGTGGTGCAGATCTACTTTGCCTTCTCATAGAAGCAATCACAGTATAGCTATCACTTTGTTGCACAGGCAATGCTTTTTAAAGAGATGCATTAAATCTAATGTTTCTTTATGAGATGCCTCACTTATTTAAAAAAATGCAAGTTTGAATGCTTTCCAAAATTGGTGTCAGTGAGCAGTGGCGTACTAAGGAGGGGGCGGGGGGGCGGTCCGCCCCGGGTGCCAGCCGGGTGGGGGGTGCCATGGCCAGCCCCGCCGCCCCCCCCCCATGCTGCAGCCGCCCGAGCGCTCTGTAGTGAGCCTCAGGCGGCTGCAGCTTTGCCCGGGCGGTGCGTCCATGAGGGCGGACCGCACTGCCCGGGCGCAGCCTGAGGAGAGGCTGACAGGAGGGAGCGCTCAGCGATCAGCGCTCCCTCCTGTCAGCTTCCTCACAGTAGCGTGGCCGAGCCCTGCAGCATTGATAGTCCGCGGGTACAGAGAGCAGCTGTCTCCTGTACCCGGCCGGACTAACAGGAAGTGCACACTGAGTGTGCCAAGCACAGGATCCGCCCCGGGTGCCAAATGCTCTAGGTACGCCCCTGTCAGTGAGACATGTGTGGAACTCAATTTATCTTTTCTTTCAAGCTTTGTTTTATGTATCTGACAGTTCCAGATGAACGTGAAATTATATTCCATAAATACTTTTAATCAGTGTGTGACCATTTGCACATAAGAAAGACTGAGGATATATCAAAGAACTTCTAATAGACAGAAATAAATCTAAGGAGATTTGTTATGCACAGAGTTACACAAGTCTAGAACACTGTATATTGATTTTTGACTTTAAGATCTCAATAGTATTCATCAAATGACACAGCAATTTTTCATACACTATAATTTAAGGTAAAAAAATTAAAAAGCTTTTTTAGAAACACGATGTGTGATTTAAGATTAAAGGACCACTATAGGCAACCAGACCAATTCATCTCAATGAAATGGTCTAGGTGCAATGATCCTTTCTTTTTAGCCCTGCAATGTAAAATATTTCTGCTTTCTAGCTACAGCAATATTAAATTGCATGGTTAAACACAAGTAGTAGCTGTTGTGAAACACAGGGCTCTAAATATAGTGTTTTGATGTATGTATGTCACAGCAGAAGAATGTGAACATATTAAGCTTGGGAGGGGGGCATGGCATATTCATGGGGAACTCTCTTTCTAAGCTTCACAGTCCCCTCTTTTGTCTAAGTCACCCTAGAATGCCCTGATCAGACTTCCACAGACTGATTGGCTGTGAGGGCTCCATGCACCTTAGAGGGACAAACCTAAAAATACAAAATAAAAAATAAAAATCCTGTGGAACTGCCAAGACAGGTATTTTGAAAAGACCTCCTGAAACTTCATCATAAGGTACCTTGGACCACCTGTGATTTATTATGGCATTATTTTGCCAGTTAGGGCACTTGGAAACAAACTATCCGGGGATACCGCTTATTTTGGGTTTTCTGATGTTTATATGTATGTTTTGGTGATATTCTGTTAGAGTGCCTTGTATCTGGAGGTTGTTTAGATCAGAATTACTTGATCTAGGTAACTCCCAGATACAGAAGTACCTGGGTGAGATCTCCATTGTTTCAGTTAATGACCCCCTGCCAGGGGTCTGTGTATAAATATGTACATTTGAATGAAATTAGCTCTTTTGTTTTCATTCTTCATCAAGTCTAGGCTGATGTTTGGGTGAGCTGCTATAATCACTGAAGATACCCTGCCGGAAAAGAAGGGATATTAGCAGAGATAAGGATAATGGAGCTCTGTCTCAGCTGTTCTCCAGGCAGCCATCAGAGGCTACTTCCATTGCAATAACGGAGTTTGACTCTGTCATGTAACTTTCAATGTTGAACATCATCAAATGCTTATCAGCATTGGATTGAATATTTTCCTATGAGAAATGTTTGATTTGTCAAGAGAGGCTGTCACTGTGAATGCCGTTCTCCCCCAATACTCCTCTATGCGATGCATTGGATTGGATGAGAAAAGGAAGAGGTCAGTTTTATTACTAGTAACACATAGTAAGGAGTTAGTATAGGTCCTCTTTGTGCCCCCACCTGTGTGCATCTGTTGGGGGCTTCAAATGAAAGAACAGTGATCAGTCCACCTGCTGCCCCCTCACTATTAATTATTGAAACATAAAGGTAGACATATTGTCCCCTTCATGCCCCCCACCTGTAGTCATGTGTGTAGGAGCTAAATAATCTGGGCAGTGCGAGGAGGATCTACCTAAGTAATAAAAGGCAGGGTGGATATGCCATTGTCCAGCCCCCATTGTCCAGCCTTTGTCTACCTCCTTTAAAATAAGTGAACCCTGCCTAACCTGCTCATCCTAACAATAGAAAACCAACTCCAACTTCGGCATTGTCATTGTGCTTGAAACAATCAAAACAAACTAACCAAGAGTATCAGAGTATCAGATCATCAGAGTACTCTGGCTGAAATTGCATAGCATGGGGACATTTACCGCAATATGCAATTTCAGTCAGAGAACTCTGATGATCTGATACTCTTGGTTAGTTTGTTTTGATTGTTTCAAGCACAATGACAATGCTGAAGTTGGAGTTGGATTCAATTTGGTATGTGCAGGGCGGAGCCTGAGTGCTGAGCCGGCTGGTTGAACGTAGACCGAGCTCCAGGCCAGAGACCCTTATTCAGCCTGCTTTTCAAGCTAATAATATCCACGAATCAGAAAATACTGCAGTGGGCCACACATATACAGACAAGGGACACCATGCTTGCAGCTTTACAGCCGGTAGTCGGTAACTCCATGATGGGGCACAGTTGCCCCTGTAACCCAAGGTGGGGAGAGGCGGCAGGTCTCCTCACATTTGGGTCAATGGCAGAGCCCGACCATGCTCCCACCCCCCCACCCATGGAGTAGCGGGGGTTATTCTGTCCTCACCCAGACCTGAAGAGTCCCACGGAGCTGGAATCCCACACATTGCAAGCCAAGATGGCCGCCGACACGATGCCCAGTGCAACCCAGACTCCTGTGACCTGGGCCATGGAAGCAGACTGCATCACCAATGCCTTTAAGCACTTCTGGATGCAATTCTGGGAAAACACCCAGCAATGGAGGACAAGATCTGCCACTGCGGCTTCACACCATTCCGACCCCTCACAGAACGGAAACAAGCTGAGACAGTCGGAGCTAAAACCTAAGGAAGCGCGGTAAGTGGGGAAGCGGAGTCCTGATGCAAATGCCTCGGTTCAGCTGAAACCTGCAGCTCGCATGGACCACAGTCTCTAAAGAGAACAACTCTTCCACGCCACTCACTCTCTCAGATGACCTCAACTCTTCACAAGCAACGGAATCCTCATAGTGGGCCTAGAGAACAATTCTTGCCTGCAGCAACACAAGGGACTTCTGAGACCGGAGAGGGGGACTGCCACCTAGCTTGGTGCTGGCGGCATACCGTAAAGCATGACTCTTGTAATTTAACCCCAAGGCCACTAGACATCCAGTGGAAGGCATAGGTTAAGCAATGCATTAAACATAGGTGGCACATCACAGTCATAGATGTGGTTTAAATGTGTAATATATTTTGTAATTGTCTACCCAGGGATATTCACTCACTATTAAGCAAAGCGATAGTTAATCGTAATATACTACTAAAAACAGTCAGTTACTAAGCTTAGCCAGCTTCCTAAGTACATGTCCCTCTGTGTTTCCCTATGTATTTGTATGCATTTCATGTATTTTGCCTGTTCTCCAATCGGGAGAGCTCATACGAACGAAACCTGTTCGTGTCCCAAACGGGGGCCACCCTGAGTTCCCATTTTGAATTCTCATTAGAATGTTCTAAAACTACAAGGAAAATCATTAACGAATGCTCCCCTGGGTGGCAGACAGTTCATATAGCCGAACATGAGAAAATGCGCTCACTATAGCATATAATAGTAATGGGCAGCAATAACCTATTCAAGGATTCCCAAACCTTGTAAATGTATAGTATATAGAAAAGGGTGGAAGGAAACCGCGCCCCAAATAGTAAAGTATAAAAATATATACGTACACAGATCATATTCAAAATAGTATATACAGTAGACCTCAAAAACAAAAGGAACAAAGAGAAATAATAGTGCAATATGATATGTCCACTGGGTGAGTGTTAAAGTAATATGATATAGTATCACTCACATTCACTAGAGCTATCTCAGAGCTCTGCTGTAATGCGCGTGGATGGAACAATCCCCGTCTAAGGATATATGAAGCTCTAGTCCACTCTTGTGTCTCCAGTAAAGTGCAATATGCAGATCATATATAATAAAACAAAAGGATATTCCAATAGTGAAGCAAGTACTTATAAGTGCTAAAATAATAATAAAGTCAGGTACTCACATTTACTAGAGCAGAACTTGCTCTAGTGTATACAGTATAGGTGGTATAATCCCCACCTGGGAGTAAATGAAGAAAAAAGTTTAAAAATAACTGGGCACCATTTGTGCAATTGGCTCAGTATAGCAGTACATTCAAACTGCCAAATGGGACTTAGTTTCCAGCCGCAGAGTCTAAGTGTAGGAGAAGGTAAGGGATCAGTGGTGTTCGTTGAAATGTGTAGCCTATTTCAGTTCCATGAATTTGGCTGCACACACCGCTGACCGCGTTCGGCTGAATAAAGATGGCCGCCGCCACGTGTTCGTTTGTACGAACGGTGGCTCCCCAGCGGTCGGCAATTTATCTACAGCAGGCTCCCAGCCTGGGAGGTAAATTGCCTGCACGCTTCCCCTTCTGGGTGGTCTGCCTGTGTAACACTTGGTTCAGTAAGCCCCATTTATTGAAGTGGGAAAAAGCCCTGCACAAAGGATTTTAAAGGTTTGGGGACATAGTCTTAAAGGTTCATTGTCACACAAGGTCTCAATATGTCCCCAGACGGTTCTTTAAGGGCCAGAACGGTCCAATACAAGTCCATCAGCCCGAATGCAGTTCTTAAAGGGCCATACACAGTCCAATAGAAGTCCATAAGCCCCAAGTAAGTTTCTTAAAGTGCCATACACCCCAGGGCCATAGTCATGAGGAAGGAGGCGGGCAAGCAGACCCCTACAAAAACTCATGGAAAACTCCCTTAGATGGGTGAGTTTTCCACAGTCACTTCTTCCCCTATCTGGGAACTGCAAGGCCAGGCTCATAGCTGCCCAAGGGCTCCCTCCCCGGGCTGCCTAAGTGGAGGTAGCCCCAGAGAGAAGAACGAGCCCCAGAGTAATCCCTGGGGTTGTGAGTCAACATCACAGCCACGGGGGTCCTGCTGGCCGCCTGGTAGTCAGCCCCTACTAATAGCAGAAGGAGCGCCCATTCAAACTGGATTTGCGCACAAGGGAGCGCTGATTGGTCACTGTGGGGCGCAGGTGACCAATCAGAAAGGGAGCGCCCTTACAAACGGTGTTTTGCGCCCTTTCTCCTTATTGGGCAGCGAAACGCCTCACCTCCTCGGGCGCCGATTGTTGCACAGGGGTTTTGCACCCTTTCTCCTGATTGGGCAGTGAAACCCCTCTCCTCCCTGAGCGCTGATTGGCGAAAATTGGTTGCGCTCATTGCAGCTGATTGGTTGTTGCTTGGTTTAGGTGCGAAGTTTGAATTTGCCAGACTAAATGAAGCAACCCCCTGGAACTACTTTCGGGGATATACAGAGCCTCAAGCCCAGACTTTGGACAAGGGTTTCTTGGGCTTTGTACATCCGATAGCCCCACTATTTGCAGAGATCCCAGCTGGGACATGGTCTATCTAGTGATGTATGTTTTTATGTGTGACCCCTTCCGCGCGGAGCACCTACATTTTCCTCTCTGTATGTGAAATGTTTTAATGTGTGTAACTGTATGTGCTTTTGGTATCTCCCAGGGCGGGAGATGGCTATCTGTAACCCAGCCCCCTCCTGCCCTGGAAGTAAAGGAAGTGTATTGAACTTAATGGAGACCCCGTGTGGTGGTGCATAAAAGCTGTGTGTTTCAATAAAGATTGTCAGAGTTGTACCTCCAGAACTAGGTGTTGTCCAGTTACTAAGGTGGGGGGGGGGGGAAGAGTTAACCCCTGGGCCACCTTGTCATATATTTTTTTTGTGTCAATCTATTGTTTTTATTGCAGATAGCTTAAACAACAACCTGACCAAGGTTCAATAGGACTATGCATAATGTCAGGGTATTTATATTGGCAGACATCTTGTGCTATGATAGAAATTAAAAGTGTATATTCTGAGTCACTCTGAACAGACCAGACTCCATTTTGTTATTTCCAAGTTAACAAAAGACACGAGATTTCTATCTGTAAAACTAACCACTTTCCCAGAGCTAAAGGAATGCATAGTATATACAAACCAAGTGATAAGGAGAACGGGGGTTGGACAGACTGTCTAAAATGTTAATGGAATAGATGCATATCTAAACACAGACATTTGTGACAGAGGAGATTAAATAATAAAATTTTACTTTCTATATGTACAAGGTCCCATTGTAAGTTACGGGTCAAAACTCAGAATTTGCCAGACACATAGTCTGGACAAAACTTAAAGAAACTGTTTGAAGTGACAGCAAATCTAAGTTATAGCAAAGATAAAGATAACGCAAAATGACGTCAAAATAGCCACCAGGAAAAGTTAACTCTTTCCTGGATAGGTATGTTTAGTGGGACAAGACTGCCCTCTATAGATCAAATAACTAAATTGCGATCTGGAAGATAACCACACCCCCAGTGTTGCTATTGGGTTATCAACTAATGACGTACAGAGAGTCTGGCCCTTTAAAAGTTAAGACAGGGGGTAGACGAGGAATGCAAGGGTATGCAAAGAAAACAAAGAAGTGAGCAGTCGGAAGCAATGCAGAGAGGCCTGTGACAGATATCCACTCTAGGACACTATTACCTACACACCTCCATGCAGAGAGACATCCAAATAAGTTCCTGAGACTATCTACCAATCGGATGAAATATCTACTCAACAGGTAATTATACTGGTTTCATTTAATTAATTTAAATTAATTAAAATGTACTAATAGCATGATATATGGCTGGATAAATCACGGTCAGATTTCCATATTAAGAAATCTTAATTAACTAAAGAATATATAGTTATAAACATTCCATTCTGCAGGTGGAATTAAGAATAATTATAAATTGATGTGATATTATCACGTGTTAGCATACCGCTGTTTTTATCCAGGTGTATTGATTTGCTCTAAGATAAGATAAGATATCTTTTTAGACAAACTAAAATTCTGCTTTTGTAAAAATCATGGTAGATTCTCTTATTGGATGGTTCCAGGAAATGACTAATGAACTGGTTTAAATGTTATTTTATTCAAAATTACATAAGAATAGATCTTAATTACCTAGGAGATCTAGCCAGCATTGAAAGGGTTATTCTAACTGTTAACCAGGGTTTTATGGCCCTTCGCTTTCCCTCTGTGTAAGGATACCTCATAAATCGTGTAAGTCTTGACAGAAAATGCTGTTTAGCCATTGAAACATGTATAGCCATTCCTTTGTATTGCATACCATTTTTTACTGGATATTCATTGATTATTGTCACGCATGTTACATATTATTATTATTATTAATTAACTTGTTATTATAAAATAAAATCTATTTTTATAACATTGTGATTTATTTATATGAAGTACTTTTCACTTACGATAACGATCTTTGGGTCTGAGAATTGAATTAGTGGGCAATTCTCACTGTTTACTATTATTATCCCATAAATATCCCCACAATAATCAGAACTTCATAATCATAAACTTTATGAACATGGTGAAGAAAATAATAAAGAAAATCATACATACATACTTAAGGAGAAAATGCAAAAGAAAAGTAAAATAAGAAAATTTAAAACCTAATTTGATATAAGCATGGATATTAGGAAGTTATTTGGACCATGTGGAGGCCTTGCAAAAACTGTAGGCACCAAAATGCAATGCAAGATGTATAAAAAGTGGCACAACATGGTCCAAAACTTCTCACGTAAAAGATCAAATTAAGTCAGAATATCTCCTGGCTGTAGTCCATTCTCTTCTTCCGTGAGCCTCACAGCCATCTTGTGTCAAAGTTCTGGTATTTCACTAGTGCAGTGCACAATTTGGCAACCAATTCAATTAGTAGCCTATGCTGTGGGAACTGGGATAACCCCCACTGAGCCAAAGTGGGGGAGACAGGAGGCCCATAGGCCACAATGTGGTTATAAACT